AATGGTTTAAGCATTTATGTGTGTTAATGATCAAATGTATCTTGTGTATGTGCTTTTTGTTTATGTGTGCGTGTGTACTTCTAGTTGTATGTATATGCGTCGTTTTGAAAGCGCTTGTTTTGAAGTTACATACATTCATTTTTGCTATAACGTCTAACGAACAAATATGAACTTGTTATTTTAGTAGCTTCTCACTATGATAGAAACACACGTGTGTTCTGTCTGATATGAGCGTGTGTGTGTGTATCTGTGTGTATGTGTGTGTGTGTCTGTTGGTCTGCAAACGATTGTGCATTTCTGCAAACGATTGTGATCATTTTTACTTAATGTTAAATTACAGAGAAAAAAAAATTAAACGTATGCCAGCCAGGCGTGTACTCTTTGCCACTGAGTGAATGAACGTGGCCTGACATCTTCCCTGACGAACTCCTCTGAAAGTTTCAACCTGAATAAAATGAAACAATCTCATTTACTTAATTAATATAAATGAAAATAGAGAAACGAGCCGCGGTGAAACCCGTCAGCCGGAAAAGCCAGCCAACTGGCAAAAAAGTAACCGCAGAGAAACCGTAAAACAAACCCCAGCCAGGCGTGCATTCTTTGCCACTGAATGAACGAACGTAGCGTGACATCACAACCATTCTGATCTTCCACGATGAACTCCTCTGGAAGCTTCAACCTGAATGAATGAACCTAAATGAATTAAAAATCTTATTTATTTAATTAATTAAAATGAAAATAGAGAAACGCAAGGAAGCCGACCGGTCGGCAAAGAAAAGAACCTCAAAGAAGAGTATCTATATAGGATTTATGCTAGAATAGAATAGAAGTCCCCAGCCTACCTATTTTACTAAATTACCTTATACCCTAGCCTACCTATATAATAAATTAATTTTTAATCTTCTCTACCTATGTTTCATTAACTTAACTTAAGACTCGTGAAGAAAGAGAAAAAGGAGTAAAACAGAACATAAAATACTACCACACAAACAAACATGATGTATGTATGTATGTATGAGCAACCGCTAAAGAACCCACCTAAAATTAAAAAAAAATACAACATACAAGCATACAAACCACAGACAAACATATGTAGCCGCGCAACTCTATATAACTCTATAAAATAAAATGAATAAAATAAAATAAAAAAATAAAATAAGTGAGATCAGGCAGACTGCTTCAAGCCTCAAGCGAGGCAAAATGCCTGATCTGATTTTCATGCTGTCTCAGCTCCTATTTACATTCGTTTCAACCCTACATTCTCATCATTTCAATCATTCACATCGGTAAAATACTATTATACAGTCTTAACAACAATGCCAACCGTACTAAATTGACGTCAACGAACGAACGCCTTCGAAACTTTCTGGTTGGCTGGTTGAATCTGCTATATTGCTTTTTATATAAACATATAATTTTATTAATTATTTGTATACATATATTCTAGTTTATTTATATATATTAATTTATATCGAAGAGAATTCCAAATAGTTTGAGACCATACCTTGCTTAAGATCCAATTCCAAGCTGAGCCAAGCCGAACTGAGCCAATATGCGTAGATTTATAAACGCTTTTATATTAAAATTTTGCTCGCTTTATATACAAATATCCCAATATAGATAACAAAGAAACAACGCGAGCGAGTTTAAAAAATATTTTATTCAAAATTTAATTAAATTAGAACATATACACAAGTTTTATTTGCCAAGTAATTCCGTCCAATCATTTAAACAAGCACACCCTCCAATTGAACTATCTCGCAATCTATTTCTTTTTATGCTTATCAGTTTTTCAGATTTTGAAAAAGCTTGTTCTCTTGGTGTGGAAGTTGAAGGGATACATTTCACTAAGTATAGAATACCGCTAGCATGACGTCATTTCCTCCAACGATTCCGTAACAAATTCTCAATCTTATTTTAAAAATTTTCTTTGATGCTTAATAACACTGGGCAACAAAAAAAATATTTTTTTTTGTATCCTTAACTTTTTTAGTCAAATTATACTAATTTTGGGGTAAGAAAAACAAAAATGCAAACAAAAATTTTTTATTAGCTCTAGTTTCTGAGATATACAACAACAACAAAAATTTTGGTTTTGCTTATTCACAACATAGCAATATGACATATAATTTACTTATTTTAATAATATTTAAAGTGCATTTAGTTTTTTCAATAAAGATTACATTCTAACAGTTTTAAACAATAAAAAATAATAAATATAAAAAATATTATGGAATATTTTCGCGCGATTGTGCCATTTTTGCTTTCCGCCTGTATACGAGCTCTGGAGCATCCCTACATATAAACCAACATTAATCTGCAAGCATAGCTTCATTCCAACGACCCTCATATCTTTTTTCCATTACAGAAATATCTTGGTGGAATCTTTCTCTATGTTCATCACTAACAGCTCCACAAAGTGGAAAGAAGTCTAAATGTGAGTAGAGGAAGTGAATCTTCAAGGACATGTTACGTCTTAGTTGATGGCATTTTTGCAGAAGTACTGTTAACAATATCATCTCTTCTGTGGCCTAAAAATCCACAAATCACTCCCTTGAGAGATTCCCAAGTTTCTTTTTCTTGCCCCTTCAAAACTTCATCAAATGCAGGATCTTTCACAAGTTCATGTATCTATGGTCCAACAAAAATACCCTCTTTTACTTTTGCATCACTTAGTTTTGGAAATTTGTTTCTTAAATACTTAAAAGCCTGTCCATCTTTGTTCCTTTGACAAAATTTTTCATTAAACCCAGCTTAATGTGTATAGATGGAAGAAGTACATCTTTCAGCAACAAAATTTTTTTCACCTTAGTTGAGATTTCTTGCGGGCCAGTCCTTTTGTGTGTAATATGAAATTTTGTCTCTATGTCCCACATACACAAGAAGCAGCAGTATTTGGTATAGTCTAATTGCATTTCTAAAAGTGTGGCAATACTTTTAGGAATACTTTTAGGTCACCACAAATTTTCCATTTGTGTTCGTTATAATTGAGTTAAGAAGAGTTTTCATATTTAGGTAAATTTCTTTCATGTGAGCTGCATGGCCAATAGGAACTGATAGAAAATGATTTCCATTGTGCAGTAATACAGCTTTCAAGCTTAGCTTTGATGAATCTATGAATAATCTCTATTCACTTGGATCGTAGTTCAAATTGAGACAATACATTAATCCATAGATATCAACGCAAACAACAAGGTTATTTTTCTTCTCAAAAAAACGAAGAAGATTTTGTTGCCGTTTTCTGAAATAGGAAACTTTAACATCAGATTGGAGAAGATTCCACTGTTTGAATCTAGACCCTAAAAGTTCTGCCATTTTCAGTGACAAGTCAAGATCTCGAACGAGGTCACTTAATTCTGCTTAACTCCATCTGTGTGATGCATCATCTGTTGACACAAAATCAGAATCATTTGATGTGGAAGGCTGGCTTTCTTTTCCTTCTTCTATTTCATTTGTGCCTCCATAAATAAAGCATTATAAATAGCCAAGAGGCAAAATAAAAAAAAATAAAAAAATTTTACCAAAAAATAAAAATTTATTCATTCAAATTTGAACTAGAGCTAATATGTAATTTTTAATGTCATTTTCGGATTCAGCAGGTGGAAATACATAAGAAACAACTAATTTTGGTTCAGATACAAAAACACTGTCGGGCAGTGTAATCAGTCAGGTCACAATCATCATCATCATTATCATCATCGATATCGCGAAAACACAATTGTACAATTTGAATGTGTAAATATAACATTATAAACGTATTAATGTATTAAGATGTAAGTGAAATAGAAGAGCGTATGATATTTGGTCAAATTTATTTGATAGGAATTGAATATAACATTTATACCGGCTAATTCACTAACAGGCAGTTAGATAACTACCGTTAACATGAGATCATTTGTCTACCCAGTTTTTTAATTAGTCAGTCACAATCATCATCGTTGATATCGCAATGAAATCAAACTGAAAATTTTTAAAATTTTTTAAACAAGTATCTTTATTTATTTTTTGATACTACTTTGTTCAATAAGATACTGTTTGATACTGTACTATCAATTAACCAGTCAATCAACAAACAAATCACAAATCAATTAATTAACCGCTGAATCAAATCAACTGACCAAATAATCAATCAATCATTTAACTAACCAATCAAACAATCAACTAATTAACCAATAAACCTGGAATTATGTAATTTGAAATTATTTTTGTCAATTTTAATGAAAATATCGCAATTTTATAAGTAAGTAACTTATGGCTTTGTTAAGCGGTAGGTTGGCCACAGTGTTTTCGAAACAAAGAGCAACATTTTCATTTAAATTGTCAAAAATAATTTCAAATTACATAATTTGATTTAAGTACAATGTTTTAAACATACTGAGTCAAGTTTATAATTAGTATCAGTTATTTGTTGAAACCCATGCAATTTCGCAGTTAAGCCCACCATGGCTTCAGTAAGCCACTCTGTTTTCTGAACAAAAGCTATATTTTTATTTAAATTGACGACGATAATTTTAAATTAAATAATTCGATTTAATTATATTGTTTTAAAAATATTTTTTGGTCAAATAAATCTTTTGTATTAGTTGTTTGTTAAAACCCATGCAATTTCGTAAGTATGCCAACTAACTTTATTTGTTAAAACCTGCTGAAGTAGTTAGTAGAAGCTGCTCGCTTGGCTTTCTCAACGTAGACCCCAGAGAGACTCAGCTATGGCCATTAAATACACATACAATCTCACACACGTACATACATGCACATAAAACGTGAAAACAAAATTTTTTAATCTGAAAATTTTTAAAAATTGAAAATTTAATTTCGTAGGTGGTTTTTTAAATAACGCACTTGAATCCGCATCCGCGACAAACCGCACAAACAAAATCCGCAAAATCCGCCGAGTTTTGAGAATTTTTTATCCGCTTGGGACTCTAGTTCCTCCACTCGGTGGATAAAATTCTTTGCATGTGTAACGCTTTGAAATAATTCAACACCACCTATAAACATAGTGATTACTTCAATCAAATCAAATAAAACCCAATAAATTTGAAAAATCAGTTAAAAACATTTGATATCAGAGTGAACAATTATCAAAAACCGTGATTAATTCAAAAAATTTCTTATTTAATACTGTCATTGGAAGCAAAATAAATGATGTTATTACAATTTTTTTACGAATGAAAAAATTCTAAGAATGTTTGTCTTGTAACGATAATAATGTATGAACAGATAAAAAGAACAACTATTTTTTAAAGTTTTAACATATTGTACACTAAAAGAACACAAAAAATTTCGCCTTTGAATAGTGGGGTATATCAAATGAAATAAAATGTTCAGAAATACTTATACAAGATAATCTAAAAATAACGTACGATTATGAACTTTTTGATTTTTTCATCGTGGAGCCATGAAAATCGAAGACCCCAATGTAATTATTTACATTTTCAACTGCCTGGTCAAACGTTTCGGGAACTGTGAGGCTACTATGTGGACTCGGAGACATCAGTCTTTTGCCATTTTTTGGTTTATAGTAAGGACAGTTTGGCTTTGAGAAAACTGGAGGTTGGTAGTCTGTAATAGTGTTTACGTCCAGAGTTTCCAAGGTTTCTTTCAGTGAGTCAATTTGGGACTCTAAATCTTTTATCAAGTTTTTGGCGGTTCCTTGATAATTCAGACGTTCGTTTTTAATATTTTCAAAATATTTTTCCACTTTGATTATTTCTTCTGCCACGTGACAGTTAATTTTGTTTTTTGCAGTATCGCCTTTAGTTTGAATCGTGGAGAGGATTTCTGATTTCTCCGAGTCCTCGTCCACTTGGAAACTTTCCAGTATTTCTTGGCTCTTCTCTCGCAACGTTTCATACTGACTAATTTCTGATTTTATGTTTTCAGCTTCCAGCTCAACTTTCGATAAAAGCTCTGAAAATGTTTATTACTATGATTATGAACCAGGGGGGAGGCAGGCTGTGACCCGTGGCCCGTCATAACAATCTATTTTATACTGCAAACTTAGTTTAGTTTTCCTTCTAAGAAAAATTAATTTTTGCTTTATTTGAATCTTAATTTATAAAAAAAACCCAGTGGGAACCAAAATTTTAAAAGTAGGTACAAACGCGCAGGGTATTGCATTATTACTTTCTCGCTGTCTAAAAAGAACTCATTTAAAAAACTTTTGTGTCAAACCTTTCGCAATAATTCATTTTTTAACATGATAAAATCTAAAAATGATGGCAATTGAGTGCTTCAATGAAAATAACATGTGGTAAGCTTCTACGTCTCAAAAAATTTACAATAAATATAAAATTTCAATCATTCATGGCCTGTTTCTGAAACTGAGATTTTTATATAGCAACTCTTTAACACCTACAAAGTTGTAATGCGGCCCTCCAAAAAAACTTGCCATGCCTACCCCTTTTGAGGACTAAAAAACAAAAAACTTGTCAAAATTTTTTTGAAAAAAAAAACAAAAAAATTACATTTTGATTGTATAAAAAAACTTCACCATTGTATTTAGCCAAGAAATCTTCGCCTAGGGCTGTTTCGACTTGAATGATAACATGTGTCTTGTTGCTTTCTACATTGTTGTGGAACTCGATGCAGCCAGAGCAGAAGATTCGTCCACAGTCAACACAGCAAGCGTCCACGGGTTTATTCGCACATATCTCACATGAGTGCAGCTTGGCTGGTTTTTCTTCAGCTACCTCCTTTCTCGCTGAGACCTCCATGTTGTGGTGGGGGTCCAAGTTCAAAATTAGCGACCTATCGTGGCTTGCCAAACAAACAGGGCAATCAATTTTACCCTCAGTTGTCACCAGGCAAAGGAAGCAGCAGTAGTAACAATGTTGGCACGGCAGCAGCTTTGTAACTTTCGGTTGCTTGCAATTATCACAACTCTTCGAAAACATTTTTAATAAATTATAACTGCGTGAACGTATTAATATACTTTATTTATTTTGGTAGAATTATTATATCAATAAGCAATTTCTAGCAATTTTCCCGCTTTTTATAAACCAAACGGATAGTCTTTGTACGAAGAACAGGTAAGTGAATGTTTTCCAAAGAATCGCTAATTTGTAAAAACAGTTAGTGCCAGCAAAATTTTACAAGTCTTTATAATAGAAGACAAAAAAGAAAAAAATTAATAACATAAAACGATGATAGTTTTATTATTTTTGCATTTTAAATATAAATTAAATAAAATCACCCCATAACCATTTAATCTTTTATTGAAAATAATCTTCCAACCAAGATGATCAAACGATGGTTCGAGTCAATGGTGACGTCATTCTGTTACTTCATCACTCAGTGACTATAATGATGGTCTCAATAGTTTCATGCTCAATTTTCTTTTGAACGCACCGTCACACAACGTTACCCAACATATTGCTATTTGTTAACCAGATTAGCATGTTTAAAAGCGACAGAATATTTTTTGTCTACTAAATATAAGGTCAATACTTTCTAAATATGATGCGGTTTATGAGTTATTGTCAAATGGCATGGACTTGTTAGTATTGACCGAGACATGGCATGGTTCATCTAATGATTTAACAGTAAAACTGGCAAAGCATGAAAATTTTGATTATGCTAGCTGCGTGCGACCTCTGGACCAAGGTCATCATGGTGAAATAAATGCCGTTTTTCAATCCCTGTGAGTCAATTGTAATTAAAATATTCTCTGCATAAACAACATCAGCAACAAAAACACTCGAGTTTATTTTGCTAATGCAAACAACAACAATGAAAATCATCAGCACAGATTTGTTTAAAAATATTGGGAAGGGAGACTGCAGCTCAAACCCTTGATCTTGGCGGGTCACACCTTTAAGCGGCTACAGGCGGTTATTAGTAAATTCAAAGCACACTTATGTTGAAGTTGTTGAAGAATGTTGAAATCTCGGAGGGTCTCTTGCACGGACTCAGTCTTCATGGAACCCTAAAAAATTCTTTGTCGTGTTTTGTTAAATTTCTAGTGTCAAGTTTGTTCATAATACGTAACAAACAATTGGATCATTCAAACTGAGCGTGAATAAAAATATTTTCTTTTTTTACAAAATCAAAAAACATTGATGATGTTAAAAATTAATTTCTTCTTTTTAATTTTTCATAGTAGGCTAATATGTAATAATTAGCGTTATTATTTTCCACAAAATTTGTTTGGAGAAATAAATAATCACTCACTAGTTGCTAGAAGAGAAAGGTTATTTTATGTGTATTAAATGTGTCTTCAAATAGAGTATTAAACTACATTTTAGAGAACTATATGTATAATATTATTGTATATAAATATAATTATATTTATTAATGAAATTATATTTCATATAGGATCTAAGCTTATAGTTTAAGTTTTCAGAAATTTTGGTAATTTGAAAATTTCTCTCCATACTTTTTTTTCTGCCGTGATGGAATTCTGATGAATAATTTATTTTAAGATCTGTTCGTTGGTCATGCAGTTTAGTTCTATTCCTCTCGACAGTTCAATTCTTTGTTGTAATTCAATTTACTTACTGTTATCCACAATTAATAAAACAATTATTTATTAGAAAAAAGATAAATTCATTGAGGAGTGTTGTTGTTGAACACCGCGGAAATGGCAATTTATAAACTATTTAGTAACATCTCTTATTTATCAACGTAGTATTTGATGACTTTGAAAATATCTTAACAATTATTTTTCTTAATGAATTGACTTATTCGTTCGATTCAAGATACTAGATATCCGAAACGTCGAGATTTCCATTACCAAAATTGAGTACTGCCTGAATCTGGTAACAAACTACCAGCTTAATTCACTCTAAGGACTTGAAGCTTTTAATTTATTTCACCATTTCAACTTAGAACCACCAGAAACCATAGAAGCCTCAATCAAATCATCAGAATGAAAATAACATCAAACCAATTATTTTAACCTTATAAAGATAACCAGGGTAGAACCGCGTTGTTATAAGTAACAGGATATAACATTGAAGCTAATTAGTATTTCTATTTAACGTATAACAACTTTATAATATATAACAATTAAAATAAGTCTTTAGAAACAATATAATGTAGTAAAACTAATGAAAACTGGTTTATTTATTACAATTCTCTCAAATATTTTTCGCATGCCTCGACAACAAACACACACTGCATGCAAATACATGTGAAACGAGGCATCAAACACATTGCATGTGATATGCGGAGAACACTCTGCAATCGAATCCAGTCACTGCAGAGGCAGTGTCAGGCACTTTACCGCTACAATATCGCTCCTCCACAATGGTCACAAAAAGGATAAAATAAAAATAAAAATCTGTTAGGGAATAAATCCTCATCTTAAAACGATAGTAACACCATCTTCATGCTCAATCTTACGTACCATCACATATTGTTATTCATTAGTGAGATTAGCTCGTACAAAAATAAAAAATTAGTTTTGCTCAATGAAAGGTGAATTAGTTTATTCTTAAACAGTGCTACGATTAAAAATTGATGTTTACATTGTTGCTTGTAGCTAACATGCAACTTCGATTTTAATGAAATCAAAAGTAGTATTCGTCTGATTGTTCGAAGGGTTGAATACCAAACCGATCATTTTATACTTGTAGTTCCCGCCACTGATAACATCTTCCGGTATGCTCTGTCCGATTGAAAATTATTACAATTTTAATTATTCACTTATGCTACGACATGATCAACATTCAAAAAAAATATAACAAAACAGAGATTAATTTAAATAGCTCGTCAATTTTTGTCCAACCTGGTTGTTATAGAGAGGAACAGCTATATCTATAGAGTAAGTAGAAGAATAAGAAACTGCAAAGAAACAATAATTATAATTAGCCACATTTTCCATACTCAGGCTAAATCTGATCAACTGTTGCGGTTGTGCTGAATAAAAAATGAAAAAAGTAGTGTATAAATTAGTAGCACATCTCCAATTTGCTGGTCCAAAAGATGTCCACAGGAAAATGAGGCGTCCATTTATATTAATTATTCCAGGATCACGTTTTACTTGTTTATATTCCGAGGTAGCATCACGTACACCACGTACACAAGCTGTGGAGTGTTTTTGAGTTATGTTGAACTATAAACATAAATATGAATGAAACTGATTAATATGTATTGAAAATACACACACACACACACGCGCGCGCACACGCACGCACACACACACACGCACATACACACATAGTTTTTTTCGCAACGATGTTAAAAATAGCCTATCAAGTAACTTTTAACCATGTTGGTTGCTGTAATGCAACGACCATCCAACCAACCAATCAACCAACCAATCATCCAGCTAACCAACCAACCAGCCAGCCGACAAACCAACCAACCAACAAATCAACCATACAAACAGACAAACAAGCGGATAAACGAACGAACAAACAAACATAGCTTTATTTAAATAACGATATTAATTAAAGTTTTCTGAACCGTTCAAAAGTTAGTAACGTTTTTCAATTAACTTTTGCCCATCGCCAATCACGACATGATAAAATTAAAAACTTATGTATATATAAGAGCGGGAACATGAAACTGCCATGCTTGCCAAAGAACAAAATCTTTTTAAGGTTTATTAATACTCTTGCCAATTTGTTTACATAATATGTTGTTTAATTTATCTGCAAAACCATTTTTAGAATTTGAAAAATATTGTAAATGAGCATACCTGTTGTTGCTAGGTTGGTAGTTGTGACCGTAGTTAAAGCTGTAGTAGTTGTTGAAGCTGTTGTAGTAGTGGTTGAATCTGTTGTAGTAGTTGTTGAAGCTGTTGTAGTAGTGGTTGTAGCGGTTGTAGTAGAAATTGTTGCTGTTGTAGTAGCTGTTGTAGCTGTTGAGACTGTGAAATTGAATAAATCATAAAAATTAAATATTTAAAAAAAAACATAAGTATTAATAATATTTGACAAATGCTTCACACAAGGAATTTCAAAAGTTTAGAAATTTAATTTGACATTCGGTGAAATAATTAGGATAAAGAACCTGCTAGGGCAAAAACGGAGGCCACCAGAATGGTGCAGACGACCGCTCCAATCATTCCACTGCCCGCCATCACCAGCAACAACGTCCTCCTGCTTCTGCTCTGCTCACCATCATCAAATCTTCCTTCTTCATCGGCTCCATCACCTCTCCTCAAAATTCCTTCATCTGCCATGTCTAGCACTTTTGTAAATAATTCAATCGTTTTATGTTTTAACTATTCAATTACAGTCTATTTAATTTATTTTATTTGAAATCATACATACATATATATACATATATATATATATATATATATATATATATATATATATATATGTATATATATATATATACACACACATATATATATAATTACTGTTATTATTATTATTATTATTATTATTATTATTATGAATGAATAAATGAATGAATGGATGGATGAATTAATTAATGGATGGATGGACGGACGGACGAATTTACGGACGGACGTAGGAACGAACGAACCAACGAACGAACGAATGAATGAACGAATGAATGAATGATTGAATGAAGAAATGAATGAAAGGAGAAATGAATGAATGAATAAAAAATATTGCCCAGTTAATTCGGTTAAATAATAATAATCAATCATTTTATCTTAGAGCTTTAATACCACTGTCAAATAAATAAATAGCTTACTCTAATTAATGTACGTATCTCAATTTTTACTTTATTGTTATACAGATATGATTTTATTTATTAGATGTTATTTTAGTGTAGTCTATTATTATATAGTTAATTTATTAATAAGAATAATAATAATAATTATTATTGTTGTTGTTATTATTATTCAGTCTTTTAATTTGAGAGATGCACAGGAATGTTACAAATAATAATAATAATTAATATAGTAATATTGATATAAATTATATTATCATTATTTATTATTATTATTAATATTATTGTTAGCAGTAGTAGTAGTAAAACCTTTATTTATATTATATTATTTACAAACAAATGAATGATTGAATGAACGAACGAACGAACGAGTGAATAAATGTATGAACGAACGAACGAACGAATGAATGGATGGATGTATGAATGAATGATTTATTAGACAAATGAATAAAAGAATGAACGAGTGAGTGAATGAATGGACTAACGAATGCGCGAATGAATGAGTGAATAAATAGGTGAATGAACGAAAAAAGTGAATAACCGAATTGCGCAACTACAAATATATTTGAATCGGAATTTGAATTATTAATATTAATAATAATAATAATCAACAACAACAACAACAAACAACAACAAACAACAACAACAATGACTGAGTGAATAAATGGATAATAATAATATTATTATAAATAATAATTTTAATAACAACAACAACAAACATGAACAACAACAAACAACAACAACAACAAACAACAACAACAAACAACAACAACAATAAACAACAACAACAAACAATACATAAGATATTTATTTGGTGGTTCAAAATTAAAAAATTGAAAGGACAAACTTTATTGATTGATGCCAATTCATACAATACTGTATAAAATATGGTCTTCCAACACAACACACAATTAATTACAGGTAGAGATTGAAATATAGTACTTTGAGCGCTTACCTGGGAGCGACACTGCAATTTCCTCTTCAACGTTTAGCATTAGTTCGGTGGAAAAGACGAAGGATAGTTTAAAAACTAACTTTTTACCAAAATTTCTTAATTTCAAATTTTAAAATTTTGAAACTCAAATTCTAAAAATCTTTTAACAAGCAAAACATGAGATAGCAGGCAAAATAATATGAGAAAGGTAAATAAGTTAATAAAAGTTGTCATATTTCACTTTGTTTTCTCAAAAGCAAAATCACAACTGGGGTAAGATAACAATTACTTACTATAGTTCAATTCTTTTTTGTAATTATGTTTACTGTTATTTATGATTAATTTAACAACAGTTATAGATTAGAAAAAATCTAATTACTTAGAAGAAACACTCGATGAAAATATTTAATTATTTATGAATAAGTTATTGAAACATTGGTGATCAATTTTTAAACTTTATGAATGGGTCGTTATTTTGGCATTGAGAGAGTGGTTTGCAACAATTGAAATGCAATTTGAGTTGCGTTCAGAAAAGGTTGTCTATTTACTAACACTTCAACAACAAACAATTTTCATATTTAGTCACATTGGTGCCCTTGTACAAACAACTAATTTGTTTTAATGAATTTCTAGGACATTATTTTTATTTTCATTCAAATTTAGTTGAGTAATCTATAATGAATACGTCTATTGAATTAGATAGTGGGTATAAAAATAGTTATTCTTACTTGTTATTGTCGTTAAACAACATTAAGGACAAAGAAAATTGCTTCACATAAATAGTTTTAAAAGTTTAGAAATAAAATTTGACATTCAATGCAAAATGCAAAATAATTACAATGAGTAACCAACTGAAACAAAAGCCCGGGCCAGCAGAATGGTGATGACGACCGCTCCAATCATTCCTCTGCTCGCGTCCTCTTGCTTCTACTATCCCCCACTACTATCATCATATCTTCCTTCTCCATCTGGAAATTAATTCGCCCGAGAGAGTGTTTTGAATAATGGGAAGTAATCAAATTTCAAGCGTATCTACTTCAATTTATATTAACGATCCCTATTCTATTTATGAGTATTTATGATAGTAGAAAACAAATTTCACTGAAATTCGAACGCTACCTTGGCGTTATTTAACTTTTTTTAATAATTTTTGAAGTTTTTTTTATAATTTATGAAATTAACCGCCATGTGATATTTATTAGTCAGAATACTATGAATATTGCAAATGAATGTGAAGATTATAGTAGGTACATGACTAATTGCAGAATGGTTAAAAGACCATCTATTAGTTTTAATAGAAGGCCAACCATTAAAAAACACAAATTTCACGAAATAATAAATAAAAATTTATTCGCAATTCAGTTAAAATTGAATTATATACAATTGCTAAATTAATTTATAAATATTTAAAGATAAAATGTTTGAATAAGATCCTTTTTTTTGCGTTTAATTCTTTCTTCTGTTTTTTTTTTGTATTTCAATTTTCTCTTTTGTTGTGACTTTTTCCATTTTTACAATTATATGTACACTGTACACGTATATACACTTTGCACTTTGCAACACTTCTGTTCAAATTTTGAAATTTTTCCTTTGACTGTTGTTGCGTGTGCCTTTGGTTCTATCAAAGTTGTTATCTTTGTTGCCTTTGTTGTTATTTTTCTTTGGAGCTCTCTTTGACGTCGTCGTGATGGCGGATTTATTTTGGATTTCCCTTTTTTGTTTTGACTGATCGCAGGGAGTCTCGTTATATTTGTGAGGTGCTGGAATGCTGAATCCGTGTGCTGGCATCGAGGAACATTTGGTTCTATCAAAGTTGTTAACTTTGTTGCCTTTGTTGTTATTTTTCTTTGGAGCTCTCTTTGACGTCGTCGTGATGGTGGATTTATTTTGGATTTCCCTTTTTTGTTTTGGCTGATCGCAGGGAGTCTCGTTATATTTGTGAGGTGCTGGAATGCTGAATCCGCGTGCTGGCATCGAGGAACAATCAACAATGGCCGGGTCGAAATATTCAAATGAATCGAATTTGACTGGTTCAGGTGGAGGAGTGTTGGATTGAAAGATAATTGCCGGATCGAAAAATTCATTCTCTTGTGTGGGTTGAACTTTACGTGAAACTGGATCGGTCGGTTCACTTGGAGGTGTAGTGGAGTGACTGATAATCGCCGGATCTAATAACTCCACCAGTTTTTGTGGTTGAGCTTGTTGTTTTTGTGGAGATTGGGCTTTTTGTGGTTGTTGAACTTGTTGCTTTGGTTGAAATGGAAGTTTATTGCCATCACATTGTTTACAAAAAATTTTTACTTGAACATTTTTTTGTGAAAATTTTTCAGTATTTAATCTGCTACTCCAGCGGAAATCATTTTCAGTGTAGATGTGATGATGTGGATCTTTCAACCATAAGTTGTGGGCGCCGTAGTTCTGTACAAAGAGTTCTATTTTATGCTTGAAAATGAACAAACTGCCATACAAATCCCTGTACACGTATTCTTTATAGTACATACTTTCCACCTCCTCTATTAAATCCGCCGGGACGTCGTGGATAACGGTCAGCGCAAAATATTCCCTCAGTCTGTTCCCGTGTCTCTCCATGATTGTGTCGACCGGAGCTATCTGTTGGATTGATATATAAATTGTTGTTATAGCTTAACCATTATTATTGGTTTATTGGAAGCATCTTAATTTTTTAAATTATTTTAAACATCTGGTAAAATAATTTTTCTAAAAATTGCCAATTTAAATTTATTATGAATAAGAAAAAAATCTTACATGAACGTATATGCCATCATCGTCATCTTCATCGTCATCGAAATTTTTTGTCTTCTCGATAGGTGGTGGGCGAAAGTTGGGTGGCAGAATATTTGAGCTCTGTCTGAGGAACGCTGGCACGAGGCGACTAGTTTTTGGGGGGTTCCAAGGCTTGAAGCTGTTTTTAGATCCGTAATTTTGAGGTTCAATGCTATCGTAAGACTGGCGGTTCATCCATTCGTTACTCTGCTCCATCACCAATCTCAGTTTCTCCTCCTCGCTTATCTTCATTTCGTGGATTTCCACCACTTTTTTAACATCACCACAGGTATCTGTCGGTTGTACCGATAACGATCTCGATCGACGCACTGATAATGATGTTTCAGATAGTGATGTTGGACGCACTGATTGTGACCTTGATCTTCGTACAGGTGTTGATGTTTCAAGTGGTTCGAATGGTGATGACGATGATAATGTAGCCGATACTGATGGTGATTCTAGGGTAGAATATGGTGACATCAGCGGAATTAATGACGACATAATTGCGGGTGAGTTGAGATTTCTTTGTTTTTTATGCACAATTCCTTGAGTTGGAATTGTTTGAGAGTCTGTTGATGCCATTTCTGCTAATGTGAATTTGTTGGCATTTGGTGAATTTTCACCGACACAACACTCCAATACTAGAGATTGTAGTAGTTGTTGCTGCTGCTGTTGATTCATCTCTTGCTGATTCACGGCAACCATTTTTAAATCGTTTGAGCTTCGTAAATAACTTAAAACTCAAGTATGATTTATTCCTAATGCAACTTCAATACGATTTTAATACCTCAGCCTTATTACCAATTTGAATCGGCAGTGAAAATGTAATTATGGAAGAAAATTTTTTCAAAACTATTAAGCTCTAACAAATAACTTATAAAAAAAAGAAGATTTGCTGAGGGCTGAATAAATCAGTTGCAGTAGTTTGGATAGATTAGTTGCAGAAGGCAGGCGATGTGAAGAGGTAAGAGTTGATCTCAGTAATGATTACACAACCCTTGACTTTCATTTATATAGGTTTAACAAAGTTTCATCTCGGCCAAAGACAACTTTGTACAGACCAATTAACATAAGGCGTGTTAAGGCATCGTTGTTATAATTACAACCGCCTTTGTTATTATAGTAATTTTTATAACTCTATCTTAATATACAAAGTTTTATTTAAATTTGTTTGACTTTATTTGACTTTAGTTTTTTTTTTATTCTAACTTTATGATTAATTTCATAATAGATTTCTTTGAACTTGTTAAAAGAGCTTCCACCTAACCAATAAAGAATATATTTATTCTTTGTTGGCGTGTCAACTTTATTGATGTTTCAACTTTGTCGATGTTTCAACTTTGTTGATGTTCCAACTTTGTTGATGTTTCAACTTTGTTAGTGTGCTAACTTTGTTAGTTTGCCAACCAACTTTCATGGTTTTCCAACTTTATACACATACACACACACACAAACAAGGACACACACACTGATGCACATAAGATTGTAAAATTGATTTGTCTGTTTTCACTCTGGCTTTTACAAGACTTTTATGTCTTACTTTGTCTCCGTAAATCAGCATTTTCATTTTATATTTTGTAATTTGCGATTATGAATTTAATTATTTATCATTTTCACTGACACAACACTCCAATAATTTTATTAATATTCTTTATTGGCGTCAACATTATAACAGAGTTTTAATTATTCTTATTAGTATTCTTTATTGGTGTCAACTTTATATGACACGTCATATCTCGAACGTTACGCATACGCATACACACCACACACACACACACACACACACACACACACACACACACACACACACACACACACACACTGATACGGGCGTATCCAAGAGTGCCTTCTTTGGCAATTAAGAATTATTATTAGATCGTTCGCAGATGTAGAGGTCTGATATTTACCCGATCATTCTTATCATCATCTCCATCATATACATCATTTCCTTCATCATCATCATCCTTTTATCCACCACACACACACACACACACACACACACACACACACACACACACACACACACACACACACACACACACACACACACAAGGACACACAAGGACACACACAACATACACGATCTTATTGAATGCCTCTCGCTACACCGCTCGATATACAGTTTTCATTGATTGATCACAGAATGAAGGACTGTGTGTGTGTTTGTGTGTGTGTGTTTGTGTGAAATGTATATATATATATATATATATATATATATATATATATATATATATATATATATATATATATATATGTGATGTATAGCCTTCAGATTTAAAAATTTCTTCCTTGCAATTAATTTCAAATTTCATAACTGATTTGTTTGGTAATCGGTAAAGCGTTATAAAGACATCAATTTATTTATTTAATTATTCATAGCATAATTTGTTTTTTTTTTAAATAATAAATAAATATGATTATTTATTAAAGAAAATTACTAATTAAAACAACAATTTATAATCCTCGAATATGTCAATGAGCAATGCGTAATAAACCATTTTCAAACTATCTATACCGGAGTTTTTAATTAAAAAAATTGTTCACATTTATTTTGTACCATGTCTGATGATGGTGTAAATCCTACATCACAACCACCAAGGACGCCGCCACCACTAGCGACACCAGCAACAACAGCGTCACCACAGCCACCAACAGCTGCAATATCGCAATCGCCGCTACTACCGAAAGCCACCACAAATTCTACAATACCTGACGAAGCAGTAACAAACCCATCATCAACACTTAATGATACAATACCCAATACCATCACAAGTAAAATACCTACCACCACTAATAAAATTCCTACCGCCAAAAATTCAACATTCAAGATACCAACAAAACCATCTGCTGCAACCGGTCAAAAACCAAACTCTCATGCAAAAAATGTGACGGCTTCTAAAAATCAACAGCCTCAACAGAAAATTTTACAACTGCCGCAAAAACAAAAACCAACTCAGCCAAAACAACAACCAACTCAGCCAAAACAACCACAACAATCACAACAGCAACCACTAAAACAACAACAGCAACCACTAAAACAGCAACAACCGCTAAAACTACAACAGCAACCACTAAAACAACAACAACAACCATTAAAGCAGCTGCAGCAACAACAGAAAAAACCTCAACTACCGCAACTGCAAAGGCCACAACAACAACAACCAACACAACAGCTAAAATCGCCAACAAAGTTACCAATTAGACAAAAAACTAAAATCCCTCTAAAACAGCCAAAACAACAACAACAACAGCAGCAGTCAGTACAACAATCAAACGCTAAATCATTAGATTATGAAAATAATAATAATGATAATAATAATGATAATAATAATGGTGATGAGAATGATGATTCTGCTGCTAGCAGCGTTGGCAAACTTGATTTAGTGGGTTTTAATATTGAAAATGGTGATGATGGGAATGATGATGATGAGGATAGCAATAATAATAATAATAATAAGAATAATAATAATAATAATAATAGTAATGATAATAATGATAACAACGATAATAAGAATATTTATGATGACGACGACGATGATGTTTATAAATATGCCAAACGTAGCTATCAGAATGATGAGGAAGAAGAAGATGATGATGATGATGGCGACCAGGATGAAGATAATGAGGGGGATGATGATAATAATGATGATGGTGGTGGTAATGGTGATAACGACGCTAACGACAATGCTGCTATTATAATTAATGATGATGACGTCGTTATGATTAATAATGATAATGATAATAATAACGATGATGATGATGATAAACACGTTGAAAAATCTCACCATAATAAAGATGGTGATGAGTACAATAGCGTTATAAACAGCAACAGCAACAACAACGACAACAACAACGACAACAACAACGACAACATGAGAAATGATATTCAGTTGACAGATGATAATAGCGAAACAGATGATATCAACAATGATTACGGTAGGAAAAACAGCCGTGATGATTTTGGTGGTTATAATCAGGATGATAACAACAAAATAAATGGTAATAATGATGATGATGATGACTTTAACGAAGAAGATGATGACGACGATGACGATGATGAATTGAAGAGAGATGAAAAGATAAGGAAGTTGGCGTCCAGGCTCTCTCGTTCAAAATCCATCATCTCCAGATCGCACACCAGCAACAACAGTGATGTGGAAATAAGAAATCTAGAAAACGAAAGTAAATTTTCAGCGGAAATTCTAAACGAAACTGAAAGCAGAAGTAAATTATCCGCAGACGACGACAATGTCTCGAGGTTGGAAAAAAATTTCTCGGCTTTCAAAAAATTTGATCGTGACAACATCTTCGCAGACGCCAGTTACTCTCGCCTGCAAACTCCAGCCGACCTGAAATTCAACAGATTGGCAATCCTCAACAGTGAGGAAGAGGAGGATGGGGGACGAAACGATCGACTGTCATCATCGAAATCTTCTCCCAACCGACGAACCATCCGCCGGGGTGGTAGTGATGAGATGTTCGACAACACTTATAGAAACAACGTTCTGTCGAGTCAAAGCGATACCACTAATCAAAGAACCGGTAGATATGACAAAAAAGATTCTGATAACAACAAATGGAAAGGGAAGAGTAGATTACCGACAATCAAATCGAACCGTACCGATGCATCGGATGTCGGTACGTCGAACAAACCAACCAACAACAAACCACGAACCAACGCCAACAATAGCAGCGCACCAAAACATTTAGCCGTTCCGACGAAAACATTCGGTGGATCATTATCGAAAATACCACAATCTAAAAAAGTTTCAGGAACTGCAACACCGATGAGACCGTACAGGAACCCCGCAACCAAGTTGCAGCAACAACATCTGCAGCAGCAGCAACAACACAACGATCATGATGAGCTGATCAAGGAATTCTTGAACGAATCTTTTCATGAAAACAGGCTTGTCGGATTTTTTTCCTCCGCTATTAGTTTTTTTTACTGTTATTTTCGGTGTTTTGCCACACAAAAAATAGCACTCACCATATTTCACTTTTATTTCCGGTTTTTCATCTGACCAATGGCGTTCCTCAAATTGATTATTTCTTCGGGTGACGTTTTTAAATTTTACTTGGATGATGTTTTTACCAATGAGGATTTTTTCCGCTCTTCTTGGAACATTGCGCCCACTGCTTTCTCAACCTCTTCACCTGTTATTTATTTACACATTCACTCAACACACTTGCATACTCATTCCTCCGCACTTCCAATCCTCCACAGATTGTTGGCGATGGCTCGGAACGCCGAATGGAGTGCTATCGACCAGATAGTGCGTGCCTCTGATAGGCTGAACGAGGAACTTCACAAGCCAGATGAGGTCGAATAAATTATTATAATCAACCAATTAATATTAATTAATTAATTTTAATTCTAGACTGTTAGTCCATTATAATTTGTCTTTAAACACATTCACACCACAGAGCACTCAACTGACGCTGCTTATGCTGGTTGTGAAAGAGAATCGGATGTCCACCATTGAGAAGTTGCTGGAACTCTACGCCAATGTCAAAGCTCAAGCCAGGGTAGGGTCATTTAGGGTCATAGGATAGGTTATCGTATACATTTTAAAACCTCCAAAAAAGTGTCATATTCAATCAGTTTAATGGCTAACATTTAATGAATTTTTAAATTTATTCACATTATTTATTTTTTAATCAAATTTTTAATTTCTTTCAAAAAATTTTCAATTTTTAAATTT